TTGGCGTCTGCAATCTGGAAAGAGCAAGTCCACATACATAATTTGTTAGTGGCCTATATGACGGAAGTGGAATAGTCAAATTAGGCTGAAATTATCCCGCATGTTCAAGGTCATTGGTGGGTGAGACGCTCAAAGGTCATTTCTGTCCATGTTAGTCGGCCATGTTGGATTGCAGTTCCGTAGCCGTTCGTTAACACATTGGCTTTTACGTTTATTCTGCAGTTATTCACAACTAATCTTGATGCATATTGTTCAAAAATGTTGCTTTTCAACTCTTTTTTGTTTCCGTTGCTGTTAAAATTAGTTATTTCGTTGGTTTTGAAAGTTTTTACCACCACGTCAATGCATTCATTTCATTATAATTGTTTCATACCTTGCATTCATGCGTGATTGCAGTATTTTAGTCGTTTTTCAGCTATTATTGAAATAGTGCTGTGTAGAAGTTTTGGAAAATATGCACCTGAACATGTTTAGCTGACAAAAGCTGTTGTTTTTAGTTCATTTGCTGGTTGCCATTATTGTTCCTGGCTCAACTGATTACTTAGCATGTTGAAATCTGGGAAATACAATGTCTTTCACATTCATGTTAACAACATGCAGCAATCTACGAGTCAATCTGGTGAGGAGAAGACGATCAGGGTTGGTATTGGTAAATTTTTCGAGGAGCATATCAAACCTGGAGATTTCGGAACGTGGTTTGAAGTTGAAAAAGCTTTGAAGCTTTTCGAGAAGCTGAGTATACCATCAGTGTATATTATCAGTTAAAAAATCAAGTGTTTTTTCAGAGAATCTAAATCAAACAAGGTTGAGCCACATGAGAAGTGTGAATCTATTGGAAATGAAAGAAACTGTGGTGTTTCTACAAAACTTGAAAGCAATCAGAAACCCCTAAGTGGTAAGTGTTACCTATTTTTAATAATGCCCAATGTACTAGATCCAAATACATGAACTAGAACCGCCTGTAGCAAAGCCAGTGTTAACAGCCATTCAGTGTGTTGCAAAACGACTTAAAAAGCGGACAACATGGTGATCTGGTGAGTGTACGAACTATCCCAGTTAAAGGTAAGACTTTAATTAGCAAGAATAGCTTTTCGGGTTGTGGTCTACAATCGGTGGTTACAACAAGCTGAAAAGCTGATTATTGTTCGGGTTGAAAATATTGGCTGAATACAGATTGCTTGTTTCATTTCAATTAATGAGATTTCTATTTTTTGGATGTTTGTGATTTCTCCGTGGCTACAAATACAGATGACCATGGTCTCTAAGAAAACTAAATAAATTTTCCTAGAACAATTGGTTTTCTTTTTCTTGGCGAAACATCTGTTAATACGATTAGGAGATTAGGTAGCAAAGTAGGATGTTCTGTGACTGAGAATCGTAGTCGTTGTGTTTTGGATTAATATCGCGCTTCTAACTGTTATAACCCTATGGATGTGGGTTTTCCCTCATGGCACATTATGATATCTAGAAGTCATAGGCACACTGTCTTCGGTAAATTTATTCTTACTTTTTAAGTGACTGCAAATAGTGAGTCATTTGAGGTGACAGGATGAATACTTCTAAACGCTTTCGTGGGGATTAGAATATATTTATTTTCTCGACTAGGAGACGATCTTTTTACGAAGAAGGTTCATAGGATGTCCGCTTTTACTTTGAAATTCAAAAATAACGTTAAGATACTCACTGAGGTATTAGCTATGGGAGATTACCTTCAGTGGAAACCACTTTAAGGTAACTACGTAGCTTTAGGTAATGCGTCATAGAAGTAAGCAGTGTAGGTTAATTGTGTCTAAATATATTAAACGTTGAATAACTGGTCAAATCGTAGCTCTTACATACTAGTTAGTCCTAGAAATAATGGATGCACTGTACAAACGTTCACTTTGATTTTCATACCTAGCTCATAAGCTCGTATACATTTAAGACTGGTACGCTGTGTGATGAGTTTTGCGAAACACAAGAATAGGTCAAGTATAGGTAAGACTCATGAACTGACAAACTGTTAGAGGAGGGGATGGGTTATGCTTGAGTGCCTTAACTTCTTAATGTGAACAGTCAGACGAAATATTATTTTAGAAATCGCTAAGACATGGGAAGACCGGGATTGGTAAGAAGAAAGAATTCGTCAAAGATACTTGACGTCAGACTTGATTACTATATCACTATCATCAATTATACAATGGTAATGGGAATTAACAGCTTCATTTAACTTTCTTTAACATCTAAAACTGAAATTAACTGCCTGATATTTCGAAAGATATAGTTTAAGGCTCTTAGACGAAGACCATTTGCTAATTCCTGATAGAAAGCTGTTCATTTTAGTACCGTCTAGCTGAGAGTTGACAGATACTGAAATAGTTAGATCATCGGCAAACTCAACAAAGTAGATATTCAAACACTGCAGTTGTTGATCATAGAAATGATGGATATTAGATAACATCACATGATTCAACAGCATATCAGAAATAAACAAAAATTGTTTCTTAGCTCACCGCCAAGTAGACAGTCTATTTGATGATGCCACTGCATATTAACTGATTAATGAAGTAGCTATCAACCCTAATTTACTACATTTACTTGTGCTACATACTTGGCGTTTAGCAGTACACAAACTTGCAACTGGCTAAATAAGGCGACTTTAGCGTAACGAACATTACGGAATTATTATTCAACTTGCTAAATCCGACTTAGATTTTATAATGTGCTATTGTATAGAAACAGACGCGAAATCCTATGAATGATTAAAGTAACAGTCTCATAATACTGTAGCAAATCTCCATTCCACTAAGCTTAACATGCATTAATCAGAATTCACATATTACGAAAGCTCATGGTATAGCGACGACGCACTGAAGACGTTCAAAAGAAGAAGTAGAAATGAAGAGTATATTAAACACTTTCTTAGTTTACAAGAGAAAATTCTGATGAAGTGTATCAGCGTTAGTTTGACAGATTGACATTTCCACTGATTTCACATTCCACAACCTCCAAATACCTAAAATATGAAGCACAACATGAAGTTATGAAAGATAATTTTATATATTAGTACATGATAATAATATACTGTTTCTATTAATACTAAGTAAAGTTCTCATACAATTAAAAGTATTTGTAGACCCCAGCTGATCTTTATATTGACGCCGTATGCATAAATAGACCTCATAAGTTGTCCAGCATTAGAGGATTACACGCAAATTTCAAGGTAAACTCTGAAACACCCATAGTGTTGAGACGTCATTCTCTCGTCAATTCCACACTAAATACGTCTACGTTAAATAAGGTATTGCATATATGTAGCTTAGAAATTGATCCACAATCTCAGTAATGTCTAAAGAGCATAGCCTTCTGAATCCTACAGAAATTACATTCTCATATTTAGGAACCTGTAGTCATCAAATATAAGCTGAACATGCCTCAACTCTAAGCAACTATGCTCAGTGTTAACAGCATAGAGTGTTACATAGGGAAACACTTACGTTATTGTAAGATACGCAGAGCTGTTGTGTTGATGAGGATAACAATGACATATAATCCAACCTAGACATTTACTCGTGACACTGCATCCGTACTGTTTCAGGTAAATGGAAATTTCAGAAGAAATTCATCTCCACTATTGGTGATCAAAAACATTGCAGTATTAAGTTTATTGTCAGACGGTAGATTAATAATAGAGCTAATTAGATTCAATTCTCGTAATCAACACAAACTATGTGTATATTATTACTATACACTGAATAATTGCACTAAGCGTAACACTGAGGAAAATTAAACCAGCTATTGCCTTCCATTATGGGTAAATTTTTATTTTGATAGAGTCTCACAGTGTTATACAGTAATATTTACTGATGACGTTTCGAGCACAAACTATTGCTCATAATCATATCAAGTTACTCACACAACTTCTTTCCTTCATTTATATACATGTGTGGAATCGACTAGATATTGGATTAAAATTCAATATGAGATAATGTACATTCAGAAATAATAGTACGAGTGTTATTAATCCATTGCAATTAGATGGGAAATACGACGAGTGTTTTTATAATTATAATAAGTTGATTGTTAGAATGTGTTTAATTATAATTATAAAAACACTCGTCGTATTTCCCATCTAATTGCAATGGATTAATAACACTCGTACTATTATTTCTGAATGTACATTATCTCATATTGAATTTTAATCCAATATCTAGTCGATTCCACACATGTATATAAATGAAGGAGAGAAGTTGTGTGAGTAACTTGATATGATTATGAGCAATAGTTTGTGCTCGAAACGTCATCAGTAAATATTACTGTATAACACTGTGAGACTCTACCAAAATAAAAATTTACCCATAATGGAATTACACTCTACCACAGTGCCCAAGTTTTATTCTTATATCAGCTATTGCCTTCTCAAATGCACTGCACTTGCAATAATCACGAGAACTACCTACATTTCTTAGCCTAGCGGTCAGCTAAGCAAACAATGGCACAATATTAATACATAACCCATATTATACTGCGCAAATCAATGTAAATATGTATTAAATTCACTTAGAGATAACCTTTCAACTTACCATAATTCCTGTCCATACACATACATTGAAAGACACGGCTACATGATAACTTCTGTTCCCACAGAGGGTTCTCTTAGCATTTATAGGTGATTCCCATGTACTAATAGCATTCTTTTGTCAAATAGTACTGTTCTGCACACAAAAATAGCTACATTTTGACGTGGTCTTCATTGAATGGCACTATGTCGAAAGCTGCAGCTTCTACAAGAAGTAAACTATTTGTGTAGATGACATTACCCTCCACCTACTCCATCTTCTTCATTATAGCGATGTTTTGACTGATTCCGCATGAAACACCAATCATTACAACCAATATGCTTAGAGTGTGTCGCAGTCAGATTACATGATGCGGACACCAACATACCTAGCCAGGAAATGAGAATTCCTATCAATTCAGAAAACATATAACACATTGACAAAAAAAATTTACTGAGCGAAATTTCAACCAACATGCCGGATAAGTCCAGCCGTCAAATTATGATAGGGAAAGTGACACATTGAATAGCGCAAATTTTGGAGTGAATGTTACGTGTAGGATATGGCGTGGTTGTTCTTTGGGTTAGTTACAGCTCTGAGGGTAAAAACAACTGTATATTGTGTTTTCTATTAACCTTCTGTGTTAAACACTCAGAACAACTTCGACAGAACTGATCAGCCCGCAAATAATAGATTACGTGTGTTTTGATTTCAGATTTTGCATCCTCATGTGGTTTTAGAAAGTTTTTCGGGGTTAGATAACGTCATGTGTTGAAATATAGCTAAGACTTAGGAGGAGGATTGCGTAATTGTGCTGTGATTAACACACCAGCTAGCATTGACTTCGGGCGCACTACAGAATGTTTCGGCAAACTTCAGATGATTGTCCCACCTTCAGCAATGCATCCGAAGAAAATGCCAGCTGGGACAGGCAACAAGAGCCTACTACCCTTTATCTTCTGAATCTTAACCCACTCAGAACTTGTAAACTGATACCTGATTCTTACTGAGATGGCCTTACTGAAGCATTACAAAATTACTGCATTTGGGGTTAATGCAATATTTCCTCATAAGGGAGGTTAGGTAATTCTTTGTTCAGCATGATCCTCACACTGAAAAAAGTTTTATGGCATCTTAATGCGTCGGTGGCACAGTGGTTAGGACTCTCGCCGACCATGCACATGGTCCGGGGTTCGATCCCCTGCCGGCGCACACCCGATATCTATGGTATGCCTGAATTTGGGCAACCGATATCCATGCTGAAAATTCCATACTTGTGCTGAAAATACGGTGTGGAATCAAGTTGTAAATCAAATAAAAAAAAACATGTTGGGGAAATTGTCACTTTTTCACCCAAATATTTGCCCCTAAATTCATCACAAAATTTGCATAAAAACCTCACAATTTTTTTATTTACGACTGTAAACCCTTTCTAATATTTCTTCTTTGTATTACAAACACAGACTCGTATGTACTGAGGATTACTTAAATCATGAAACTTGCATCCTCTCATTCATAAGTCCACCCTACATCACCTTGAATTTAGGGACTACAATACAATACATCAATGTACAACAAGCAGCCAACAGACCGTAATGTTGTCATGAGTAACTTGTAAGAACCAAGTGATTTCGACTCAACTGATGAAAGGCATATTCACCAGTTACACTTATTCGGTAGTCTTATACAAGAAATGCTTCTGATAAGTATCCCACAAGTTACTATAGAATTTTTTAATGTTAAAAATAAGAGCTGATAACGCATTCAAGCTTTTCAGGTTTCTTAACACTTTAGTTGTCTTACTTGACAAATGCAGTCAGATACTAGCTAACACTCAAGTTCAGGGAATTGAGTATATTTCCTATACTGCAGGATCATTTAGAAGATAGGCACCTTTTGTTTTGCAGTTAGTCCTGCATTGGAAACGAATGCTTCGAAGACATTACACAACCACTTGCATTTGCATGAAATTGTCAGTGAGCAATACATATTGTGTGGGTGCTAGTCCCTCACTGCCTAGACCTCGTTAGATAGAACGACGTTCAAAGGTGTGACCCAGTGATTGGAAGTTGAGCACACAAACCAATGAGCTACAGCTTGAAGCCATATTTACCAGTTGAAACGCAAAGGAATACAAAAATGTCGATAAGCTGAATCCTACCATCGTATTATCATTATTACTATTGTATCCTTTAGTTCCTATAGGAACATAGGGCTTCAGCCATGCGTCTCCATTGCGTTCGGTTCTCTGCTAGAGTCTTCACCTGGCTCCATGTCTGCCCACACTTTTTCATCTCCTCTTCACATGACCTCCTCCAAGTCACCCTCGCACTGACGACCAACTCGCCGCCTCCCTTTCGCGATCCACTCGAGCAATGGCTTGTCTAGTGATGTCACTTGATGGTTTGTTTCCTCAGAGTATGGCCAATCCATCTCCATTTCTTCCTGTTTATTTGTTTCACAATCGGTTCCTGCTGTGTTGGTTCGCTCCCAGAGATCCCTCCCTGTTGCTGATCTTTTCTGGCCATCTGATCTTGAGTATTGAGCGAAGACAAGTGTTAATGAAGGTCTGTAGTTTGTTTGAGATGCTCTTTATGACGCGCAGTGCAAGTCTGTGATCCGTATGGCAAGTAGCACTGACTTCACATTGGCGTTGAAAATCCGGATCTTATTTCCATTTTGATGCTGAGTGTTGTTGACCTCCACACAGACTTGAGAGTAGTGAAAGCTTGTTTTGCTTTTCCGATTCTTGCTTTGATATCCTCGTCAGTTCCGCTGGCCTGTAGTTGAAACGATGCTTCCCAGGTAGGTAAAAGAGATCATCTTTAGGCGCTAAATGCTGATTAGATTGTTGTATCAAGCTCTTCATTGTCATTGTAATCACTTCGTGCTAGAGCGCATCGAACAGTATAGGAGATTTATTAGCTATCTCATTCTGGGGGTAGCTTTGATGCACTCAGTATAAACTGGACAGCTCCTTCCTCCATAGGATCCATTATTGATTTTGACAGCAGATTACTCCTGACTATCGTCGAGAACATCGTGGTTCTATCCAAAGGCTCTTTCTTATTGGGCCTGGTGCTAATTCATGATGTAGATTAGATAAACAATCCACTTATTTATTTTCCTATAGTTACTTTTCTTTTCTTTTTTTACTTTTACAGGCAGATGTCAAATGTGTTAATAGTTTTATCATGAGAAAACATTACTTCAATTATTTCTTAACGAATAATCAATTATATTTCATAAATAACTACAGTTAATAGAAGGAGTAGTATTAGCAGTATTCAAAGTTGAAGCAGCTTGTATTTTCTCATCATCAGTGTATATCTCCACAAGTGTATGTACATTACATGGGAATAATATCCACGTGCACTATTTGTATTTTAATGAAATAAGCATGAATGATGATCAACAGCAGCTTAAAAGTAAATATGAAAGATTGTGTGTAGAGTTTAAAAAGGTTTGTCCTAATTAATAAATGCATTAATTAACTAATTAATTATCACAGCTACGTACAAAATATAAGGCTTTAAAAGATAATGAAAATGAAATAGGTCAACAATTACAGGTGAGTTTATTATTATGTTTGAAGTTTCAAGGTTTTTTTTAATATTTTCCAAATGAATAAGAAACAAAACGATATTGTCGGTTTTACTTATGTTTCGCTATTTAATGCTGCTACTAGCTAGATCGGAGTAGTATTATTAAACCAGAATTTACAAAATCCACTCAGCATATATATAACAGAAAGTACATTGCACTAATCAAGGCACTCTACTCAAACTCACGTAGCTGTGTAAGGGCTTATGGGGAATTGTCATCTGAATTGATAACAACCAGTGGTGTCCGTCAGGGATGTCCACTTTCCCCTTTTCTGTTTAACTTCATCATAGATATGCTAATGGAAGTATCCTTAACTGAACTTAACGACTTAGGAATCGACTTGTTACCAGTGAATAGTTTTATAGACTTAGAATACGCAGACGACATAGTCCTGTTAGGGGAGGACGCTGACAAAATGCAGAGTCTTCTGAACACCTTCAGAAGCAATCTTCGTATGTTTGGCATGCGATTCGCCCCTGTAAAATGTAAGATGCTGCTACAGGACTGGACTACGTCAACTCCTAGCTTAGTGATAGGGAGTGAAGTGATAGAACATGTTGACCACTTCACCTATTTAGGAAGTTGTATCAGCACCAACGGATTGATTGGTGACGAAATCACAGCACGGATCCAGAAAGCTAGGGCTGCTTTCGCTAACTTACACCGTCTCTGGCGTAGGTGTGACATCCGACTGTCAACCAAGGGACGTGTATACTGCTCAGCAGTTCGCTCCGTCCTTCTCTATGGCGGTGAGACGTGGCCATTGAGAGCGGAAGACATGAAGAGATTGTCTGTTTTTGACCACAGATGTTTACGATCTCTTTCTCGCGTTAGGTGATATAATAAGGTAAGTAATGTTGACGTTAGGCGTAGAGTGTTGGTCAAAGAGGGAAAATCAATCGACGAGGCTATAAAGTTACATAGATTCAGATGGCTAGGCCACGTGCTGCGCATGCCTAACCATCGTCTCCCCGACGGACGGGCATTACTAGCTGATATAGGTGCAGGTTGGAAAAGAGTAAGTGGTGGCCAAACAAACACATGGCATCAATCAATCCATGAAATCCTTGACGGTTAAACTGAGTCAGGTAGGGAGGGAGATGCAGACTTCCGGGTTGGGGCCCGCCCTCGGGACTCTAAGAATCAATGGCTGGAGACAATAGGTGACATGGCTCAAAATCGTTGTCAATGGCGCAGATGTATTCAGTCTCTTTAACCTTCATACTCCTTTCTACCACTACTCATTCTGTTTCACTCACTCTTATACTTGTCAAAACTCTATTGATTCTCTTCACTCTCATCTTGTTGTCTACCTTTGTGTGTGCTATTTGGAACGTGGCAACTCGAACTGCTGCACTTCGGTGCCAAGTTCTATGTTGAATCCAGACAGAGAGACATATATATAACAGCTTAATCATCGTTCCTCAGTATGGGGTCATTTTTCGTTGTCAAATTGACCATCATATGTAGACTTGGATTTGATAAGTGTGTAAAATTATTAAAAAAAACTTATAAAAACAGCGTGTGTATTTACATAATGAAATTGTTTATCACATGCGTGTTGATTTTGTCACTTTATGGGGGAGGGTGTGTGTATGCTGTAACCAGGTCAAATTCTGTTTTTTTGTCCATCATTCGTCTTCATCAGACAATTTGGATTCCATTTGATATGAAGTGTTTCTGATGATATTAGAAGTTCTTTGTGATTTCTGAAATGCTTTTTCTGGATGATGATGATTTCAATATTGTCAAAATCAAATTTGTGGCCTGATTCTTTAGTGTGTAGGCGAGCTACGGCTGATGATTTTTCAAGTATTTCTATTTCAACTGGATTTCTCGGTGGTCGAACAGATGTTCTACGGTGTTCATTTTTTCTGATTTTCATTTCCCTCTGGTTAGCTTTGTCCGATGTATATCGCATCACATTCCAAGCATTTTATTTTATAGACACAATTAGAGAGAGAGTCTTTAGGGATTTGGTCTTCTATATGGACAAGGTTGTTTCGCAGTGTGTCTGATGTTTTGAAGAAAACTCTGATGTCGAGCTTATCGAGTACTCTTCTGTTATCGTCTGACGTCTCCGCTCTATATGGACGTCCATGTTTTCGGAATACGTTTTTGACCATGCTTAATGTCCATGTTGATTTTGTTGATGAAGTGCTTTGGGTAGTTGTTTTGCTTGAGAGTCTCAGTAATGTTTGATATTTCTTCTTCTTTTTCTTTCTTGTCCGTTGTCAGAGAGTGTGCTCGTCTAAAAAGACTTGAAACAACTGATACCTTTGCGCTGATGGAATGTCATGATCCAAAGTCTTAATATTTATTGGAGTGGGTTTTCTTCCTGAATACAGATATCCTGAAATGTCCGTTTTCTCTCCTTTTAACTGGGCAGTCTAGAAGTGGTAGTTCATCGACGTCTGATTCTGCTTCCGAAGTAAACTGGATGCTGGGAGATAGATTATTCAGTTTCTCCAGGAATGAATTGTGTAGATCTCGTTTTAGCACTACAAAAGTATCATATCTACATATCTTAACCATATTTTAGGAGTGAGTATACTTGAAAAGATGTTATCTTCGAATCTGTTCATGACAAGATCAGCAACTGTTGGGGAGACTGGTGAACCCATAGCAACATCATTTTTCTGTCTATATATAAATTCCCTTTAAATGTTAAAATAATTACTTTCTAGACAGAATTTCAAGCTCTTAATTATTTCACTGGTGTCCAGTAGACATCTTTGTGATAGCGTTGTATCTGATTCTAGTAGACTGGAAATGATATTAAGACTTTCGGTAATAGGGATACTAGCATATAATGAGTTAATATCATAGCTTACCATAATGTCTTCTTTATCAATTTCTCGGTGTTCTATTTAGGATTTGAAATCATATGAATTTTTTTTACAATATTTTGAGTATCCTTTTGTAGTGGTTATAGTATCGAAAATATTTAGAGAAGTTGCATGTCAGTAAAAACGTCAGTCAGTCAGTCAGCTCCCAAAAAATATGTTAACATGTATCCTTGCCGTTCAGGGGGATCAACAAAGTCTGGTCACTAGACAAAGACTCAAGGCCGCAATTAATAGAACTTATTATGCAGCTAAACTTATCTTCATAGAGGAAAGGAGAACGAACTATGCTGTCCTATAAAACCCTCACATTATCTGAACGATAGTGTCACATCTCATTGTGTTTATCAACTTAGATGTATGTGTGGACACATGTATATAGGGAGGACTCATTGGTGTCTGCAGGTTAGGTCTACAGAACACATTCCAAATTGGCTGCAACAAGAAATAAAATCACTAGACACAACTGGTCCCGGGAATAGGTGTCCAACATCATCTGTCGCGAAGCACATTATAGTGACGGGTCATACGGTTGATTTCAACAATGCCTTTAAGCCCATATATAAAACAAGGTTGGGTCACATACTTCAATTCGTTGAAGCTTTGGCCATAAAAAGGCTTAAACTTATATATGTCTTAGGTGTCCAAAAGTTATTTGTTATTACTTTAAACCTGCCTTGGTAATCCAATTTAGAACCAAGGATCAACTTACTTCATAATATTTTCACTCTCTTGTTTTGTTTTTCTCTTTCTTTCTTATCCACACCTTTGCGTCATCTCCCTACCCATTATTCGTAACCTTGACCTGTACACAATCTGACCTTTATTTAAAAACTGTATGACAAGTACTCGTGTGTGTGTGATCAGAATGTCCGAAATGTGTTGCGCAAATACATCACACGTTTCAGATAAACTACGTATTCTTATCTAGTATACTAGGCGGGAAAAAAAGAGAAACAACGTTAAGGAGGCGATGTGAAGCTAGTAACACCAACGCTACTGAAACAATTGAAAGCTTGGTCTGAGTTAGTCAAACTGTGCCTACACACTAGTGATGGTGAGGTCGATTCCAAATTTGCGAAATAGTCACCAGGTGTTTGTATCACTTCAATCTCTAGCGTTCTAACAAACAATACTGGTTGACGTATGTATATATGTCTGTATACATGCATGTGTGTGTGTGTGTGAGGCATCCAACTACTCATGCCAACCAATGAGTAGTGTGTATAGCTTGAAACAGTATGTGTTTCACTCGATATGCGATATGTTGACCAACTTCACCTATTTGGGAAGTTGTATCAGCACCAACGGACTGATGGGCGACGAAATCTCAGCACAGATGCAAAGAGCTCGAGCTGCTTTCGCTAACTTACACCATCTCTGCCGTAGGGGTGACATCCGACTATCAACCAACGGACGTGTGTACTGCTCAGCAGTTCGCTCCATCCTTCTCTATGGCTGGCTCTGAAACATGGCCAATACGAGTTGAAGACATGAAAAGGTTGACTGTTTTTGATCATAGATGTCTACGATCTCTTTCTCACCTTACGAGGTGGCATAATGAGGTAAGTAATGTTGACGTTAGGCGTAGGTAGAGTGTTGGTCAAAGAGGGAAAATCAATCAACGAGGCTATAAAGTTACATAGATTGAGATGGCTAGGTGACGTGCTGTGCATGCCTAACCATCGCCTCCCCCTCCTCGACGGGCATTACTAGCTGATATAGGTGTCGTGGGTTGGAAAAGAGTAAGTGGTGGCCAAACAAACACATGGCATCAATCAATCCATGAAATCCTTGACGGTTAAACTGAGTCAGGTAGGGAGGGAGATGCAGACTTCCGGGTTGGGGCCCGCCCTCGGGACTCTAAGAATCAATGACTGGAGACAATAGGTGACATTGCTGAAAATCGTTGTCAATGGCTTACGCAGATGTATTCAGTCTCTATAATGTTCCATATTCCTTTCTACCAATAATCATTCTGTTTCACTCTTATACTTGTCAAAACTCAATTGATTCTCTTCACTCTCATTTTCTTGTCTACCTTTGTGTGTGCTATTTGGAAGGTGGCAACTCGAACTGCTGCACTTCGGTGCTAAGTTCTATGTTGAATCCAGACAGACAGACAGACGGAGAAATTTTTTTTTTAGTGTCTTTTAGTCTCCTTCAATTTTCGATGCCTCTTTGTGTTATTTGGTCATTGTGTACTTTGTTTTAATATGCGTAGGAGAATTTATTGAAGAAAGATGCACATATCAAGAGATTACAAGAAGAAATAGAAAATTTAAAATCACATCTCTCCTTTCCGTCAAATTCATGTGATGAAGGTCATGAAGGCCTTCATCATCATCATCTAAATGGTGTTATGATCAATGATTCAAATCATTTGTCAAGAAAAACAACATCATCATCATGTCTCAGTCCAACTGAATCGCATCCTTTTACGCATAGAACTCATCAGATTGTTGAGAATGACTCTGGGAAGTTTAGTGATCAGGTGAGTGGGTGTTTTTTTTCTTTTTTTCTTTTTGAGTGTATTTGTAGCGTTCAATATTTTATTAAAAATGTCACCTAGTTTTTAAGCAACTCCCCTCACCCCGCCCCGCCCCGCCACCTCCGCGGACCCCATTAACATTACCTGATACGAGACAGAAGGTGGATAGACTTCAGTTTTTATCTCGTAATGCTGTCATCAGCAACATCCAGCGCCAATCACCATCAACTGGATTGATTTGAAAGAGGTGAGTGACTTCATTCACTTATCTAAAGGGAGCATTGTCTCAACTACAGGCAGGTGGAACGGACGAGGATGTCAAATCGAGAATCGGGAAGGCGAGAAACACATTCATCAACCTGAAACCAATCTGGAAATCTTCGTCACTCAGCCTGCATCAACAACAAAATGATTCGGATTTTCAATACAAACGTCAAGTCAGTCAGTTCTTCTATACGGATCAGCGGAAATTGGGTGGGTCACAAAAAATATTTCCAACAGCCTGTTGCAGACCTTCATCAACAACTGTCTTCGCTATATACTCAAGATCAGATGGTCGGAAAGAATCACCAACAAGAAACTATGGGAACAAACAAAACAAGAACCAATCGCCCAACAAATATGCAGGAGAAAGTGGAGATGGATTGGACACTCGATAAGGTGGCCGCTGAGTGACATCGCGCGTCAGGCTATCGCTCGAGTGGAACCCGAAAGGGAAGTGGCGAGTAGGACGTCCAAGGGTGACATGGAGGAGATCGTGTGAAGAGGAATTGAAACAGTATGGACTAACATGGATGCAGGTGAAAAGTACAGCAGAAGACAGAAACAAATGGGGACGTGTAGTTGAAGCCCTATGTTCCACTAGGAACCCAAGGGAACAATAATAATAATAATGCTGTCATCATGTGGCCACGTATTCATGGCGTCCACCAGGAGTGTATGTCCTATTCACTGACTTCATGCGGTGGACATAAACGTGTAGTGTTTACATTCGGACAAGATATGTGGATACACTTATATTTATATCTACCTAGGGGAGTCGTGGTCCTTTAAGACAACACTACCTGCTTCTGTTTTTTTGGTTTTCGGTCAGTATCCTGAAAGCTATCGGACAAGTTGACATTTTGTATAGCTCATTTCTTGGTGCCCAGAATGTATCAAGTTTGTGTTTTAATCCAGTCAAGTGTAAGGACGGATTATTCCACCGATGACATTGGTTGACGTCAGTCGCGCTAAATCACGAATTGGTAGAAGTTAGAATTCATGAGCAGCTGGCCATTGAGGAGTTGGGTGTGTCCCAGTGGCTGAATGGTATACGAGTTAGCTTGCCTTGTAACCGGAAGGTCCTGGGTTCGAATCCCTGTGGCTGGTTTTCAATGGTTCTCTAACTGATATCAATCCGTGATCAACTCGTAAAAATAATGATAATAATAATAAGTTTTAAACACTGAAAGTTTCTAAATGCGTTGATCAGTCCATGTGTTTGTAAAGTCGAATTGGCTTAAATGAATCGTTTTTTTTACTTCTCTAACCTCTACACACTAAAGAAGTTTGTCTTCTCAACTGTGTGTTAGGCGGTACAGCAGTTCACATTCCCTTACTGTGTGTGTACGATTTTCATACAGTGAAGGTCGAATTTTGGAAGTTTTAGATCATGAGGCGAAACTGTCGATCATCCAGTCTTTGAAACAGAATCCAATGTCTAAACTTATGAGCTGTCATACTTCTGTCTATTCACGATAGATGACAGCCACCCACCGCGCCTGCCAATGTCATCAGTGAGTGTGACACGTGTCTTCACACATCTTGTGCTTGATGGATGGACCCGATTAGTCATGAATTCTCACGAAGAACTTCTTGACACACAACTTTATTCTGTAGTCAATTACTATTGAAATAATGAGATAATATAAGCAGTACAAGTTATGCAATATATTAAATAACTGAGAACGCCTGGTCAAGTTTTATCGGGTGTCCCGTATCTACCAAGTGGGCTAAGACTGCACTATTTACATATTTGGTTGATCCTTTACTCAACCATACAGGTACATGTTCACGCGCGCGCATAGGTAAAGCCCTCTGAGTACGACCAATGTAACTAGCTCCACATGAGCAGTTGAATTCATAGATGCACATTGATGAGGCCATCTTTGGTAATTTATCCTTTACTTGCTGTGTGAGTACTGGTTTAGTTATATACCGCGTTCCTAGTAATTTTTCTGGAGGAGTTCGACTGCATCTTCTATCAGTAGCTGAAGCGGTGGCAATTAATACCAGAAGACCATCTCTTTGCATACAGAAGAAGTATGTTCAACCACTATGTTTACCTTGGCCTACAATAAAGCCAACAAATCCTCTATTAACACTATAAATTCCTTTCAAAATTTTCTTTTCTTCTTCTATTCCTGTTTCATTGATAATCGTTCATTTTCGATTTTTATGATTTCATGACCTTTCTTATGATTTTATTACCTTAGGTTTAAGTAGTGCTTTTCTAACTTGCTATCGTATTTACAAAATCCTGTTCATTCCACTTCATTATATTCATTATTATTATTTGACAATCATTCACCAATAGTACTTGTAATTTTACACCATATCATCGTTATTATTTGACAATCATTCTTATTGTCGTTATTTTCAACCTTGAACTTATGTCTAGTCCACCCCATTCGTTGGTCTATTTTCATATTTTCTCACACACCCTGATTACACACACACACACTCGAGACCTGTATTTCTGTTGACTATATATATATATATATATCATTAAATTAAATTACTTCATCTCATTGTATCCCATGTTCTCACTGACCATGCATATTAAAAAACTACCTGACCACTGTTCCATCCCATCGTACTTATACTTGTTCCACAATACACTTTCTGATATGATTCTAATTTACCTTTACTGACTGGCTATTGTATGCTTAAATTAATGGATTTATATTTGTAGAGCCTGAAGAAGGAAGAATTTATTGAAACCACAATTGTTCGCTCTAACTATTTTGTCTCTGTGTTATATTCATTGCTTTGTATTCCAGGTGGAATATTTAAACTCATAAGACTTTTACCAGCCTTACACCCCCACCCCACTTCAGCTTCCTTTTTATTCGAAATTACTATCAGCTGGTAAATTGGGTTAGATGTAGAGAGAATGCATCTCTGGAAATTGAACCTGGATATATATATATATATCTATTCGACCATGGAGTTTTTTTCAAATTCCCCTCGGAAGGCGTGTTCAGTAAAAAACTAAGAATGAAAGCACTTTTTTCTATCCACTCGTGCGTGGTTGACCACTATCTATCTATCCATATAAACAAAACAAATAACCAGATCTTCTTTAATTTTTGTTTTTTGAACCGTAAAGGATAGTTTCTAAAAATGTGTCTGCCAAACTGCTTACTGGTTCTAGGAAATCTGCCATTTCGCTGATTATAATTATCCATGGTTTCCAATTTACACACACAGTTAGTTCTACGAGGTGAAATGTCACCATCGTTTCCTTCTTTAGAAATTGAAATGATTATTTCGATAAAGAAAGGAAGACGAAATTTGCAGTATAAAATGTGATATCATCATTCTATTTCACAGGTTCTCATCAGCTGCACACCCCTGCCTGAAATTACAATGGTTATATAGATGATAATAACATACTTTAATGTTTGAGTGGTAGTAGGGAAGAGATACTAAAAAAATTGACGCATCCAAAAAAGAATGAAAGCATTACAATTTTTAGTTTAAGATTTCATCATCAAGTTATATGCTTTCACAGTAGAAAAGAGGGGGGAGGGGTAAGACAGAAAACAGAGAAAATTGATTAACGCAATAGTGTTAGGTTGTAGGTTCACATAGCAACTCAAAAAACCAAGAGCGGTTACAGTTTATGATATTAAGATTTGTTCAGTGAGTTGAGATCACTGAATTAGATGATTAATTAAATGTGATCAAAATCAAAATTCAGTTACCAAGGCAGAGAGAGGTTGATCACACTCTCTTTCTGTATGCATAAGTCTGGTTGGTTTGAATCGTTTGATTGCGATCGCTTTGGCAAGTCGTAGTAAATTTACTGTCCTTTGTCTATTTAATATTTTGAGTGACTTAGAAATCTCTACGAGATATTCGGTATCAACAAGATGCCTGGTAATCGCACTCTGAGAATATTTGCTTCCTTTCAGGCACAGGTTTCTTGAAAAATATGTTCAGAAAACCGGATTTAAACCAGACTTATGCATACAGAAAGAGAGTGTGATTAACCTCTCACTCTCTTGGTAACTCTGAATTTTGATTTTAATGATATTAATTACATTAATCATCTAATTCAGTGATCTCAACTCACTGAACAAATCTTAATATCATAAACTGTAACCGCTTGTGTTTTTGAGTTGCTATGTGAACCTACAAGCTAACACTGTTGAGTTAATCAATTTTCTCTGTTTTCTGTCTTACCCCTCCCCCCTCTCTTCTACTTTGTAAAGCGTATAAATTGATGATGAAAACTTAAACTAAAGATTGTAATGCTTTCATTCTTTTTTGGATGCGTCAATTTTATAGTATCTCTTCTCTACTACCACTCAAACATTAAAGTATGTTATTATCATCTATATAGCCATTGTAATTTCAGGTAGGGGTGTGCAGCTGATGAGAACCTGTGAAATAGAATGATGATATCACATTTTATACTGCAAATTTCGTCTTCCTTTCTTTAATCAAAATTTTTATCAAGGGAACCAATTGTATAAAATGATTATTTTCATATCACAATATATAATCTGCTTGATACCTGAAATGGTGATCAAGTAACCAAGTATAAGTGCATGACGACTTTATGTATATATATATATATATATACTGATTCATTGACGTGATGAGTCTATCTGTCTCCTTTCGACATGGACCTTTGCACCGATGTGCAAAAGTTCAATTTGCCACACTCCCTCCTTGTAGCACACAATGCAAGAGAAGAATGTAGAAGAAATGCATCATAGAGACAGTAGACATAAATATGAGATAAAGGAATTGTAATAACGAAGAACAAAACAGTTCCATTGGAAATCATAAATCACGAGGAGTGGATGCATCTGCACCATTGAGAACGATTTTGAGCCATGTCACCAATTGTTTCCAACCATTGGTTTTTACCGTCTCGAGGACCCCAACCAGGAAGTCTATAACTTCCTACGTGGTTTAGACTAACTGTTGTAGATTTCATTGACTGGTGCCATGTTTTCGTTTGACCGCCGCTAGCTCTTTTCCAGCCTGACCCTATATCAGCTAACATTCCCCGTCGAGGTAGGCGATGACTAGGCATACGTAGCACATGTCCTAACCATCTCAACCTATGTAGCTTCACAGTCTCGTCTATTGATTTCCTCTCCCACCTACCTAGCACTCGACGCCTAACCTCAGTATTGCTTACCCTACTATACCACTTCAATTGGGAGACAGAACGCAGGCACCTATGATCAAAGATAGCTAGCCAGGTCTTTCATGTCTTCCACTCTCAATGGCCAGGTCTCACTCACAGCTCTAAAGGAGGACGGAGCGAACTGACTGCTGAGCAGTACACACGTCCTTTGGTCGACAGCCGGCAGGATATCACGTTTACGCCAGAGGTAGCGTAAACTGGCATATGCGAAACTAGCCCTCCGTATCCGTGCTGAGATTTCGTCAGAGATCAACCCGTTGGCACTGGCTGATGCAACTTCCCAAATAAGTGAAGCGCTCAACGTGATCTTCCACTTCACTCCCTATTTCTAAACTAGGAGTCAGTGTAGTCCAGTCCTGCAACACCATCTTACATTTGGCGGGAGCGAATCGCATACCAAACATTCGTAGATTACACTTCAAGTTGTTCAGAAGACTCTGCATTTTGTCAGCGTCTTCACCTATATCATCTGCATATTCTAAGTCAACGAGATTATACCCTGGTAACAAGTCAATCCCTGAGTCACTGAAGTCACTTAGGGTTAATTCCATCAGTACATCTATGATGAAATTGAATAGAAATGGGGATAGTGAGCATCCCTAACCCACACCACTGGTTGTCACCACTTCAGATGAAAACTCGCTGTAAGCCCTCAGCTGGCTGCATGAGTACGAGTAGAGTGCTTTGAATAGTGCAATGTATTTTCTCGTTATTCCCTTTACATCCAAGCATCGCCATATTACCTCTTGGTCGACGGAATCGAATGCCGCCTTTAGGTCAAGAAATATAATGTGATGAGTAGTTTGATACCACTCTCTCATTAACCAATACTGGCTGACTGTTCGTGTCATACACCTTTCTCCATAAGTGTCATTGAAAACAATACTGTTATTTGATGGATGGTAGGTGACTAGCAGTGTAGAATCCAGGATGTGCATTTCATCCTGTATGGGTCTCGTCACCTGGATGTACATGCATTCTCACTGAGTGTTGTTCTCAATGAAACTCGAACCCAGCACACATCGTCTCGAACTCCAAACCGTTATCCATAACGAGTCCCAAATAAGACGAAATGTACATCCTGGATTCTACTGCGTTAGTGACCATCTACAAAACAACATCGGTGTTAATCCTTAAACATCGTCAAAGCATCCGTATTAGCAGCCGACATGTCAACATGTCCAATGTAATCGATCAGCGGGAAATACAAAAAACTGAAGTAAATGAAAAATATGTGTGTTCACTGTTATTTCTTGTTTTAATTTTATTATTTTTTGATAATTCACGTTGTTTTAACAGTTATTATTATTATTATTACTATTAGGTGAATCCTGATGAAATTCCCAGAAATAATTCAACATCCTGTAGTACAAAAGCAGTTTGTACAGATGTTGGCGTACAAACTGAATCATTTGTTGGTACAGTTAGCTCTACGCTTAATGCTGCTACTACAATCACTGTCCCAGTTTCTACATCTGATGAGATGAGCGTAATCAACAAATGGAATTCGCAAAGTAGTCCTGGGGTGAGTATTATTATTATTATTATTTCCTTGGGTTCCTAGTGGAACAAAGGGCTTCAACTACACGTCTCCACTTGTTTCTGTCTTCTGCTGTACTTTTCACCTGCATCCATGTTAGTCCATACTGTTTCAACTCCTCTTCACTCGATCTCCTTCATTTTACCCTTGGACGTCCCACTCACCACTTCCCTTTCGGGTTCCACTCGAGCGATAGCCTGACGCGCGATGTCACTCAGCGGCCACCTTATCGAGTGTCCAATCCATCTCCACTTTCTCCTGCATATTTGTTGGGCGATTGGTTCCTGTTGTGTTTGTTCCCATAGTTTCTTGTTGGTGATTCTTTCCGGCCGGCCATCTGATCTTGAGTATAGAGCGAAGACAGTCAGTTTTTGATAAAGGTCTGCAACAGGCTGTTGGAAATATTCTTTGTGACCCACCGCCAAGTTTCTGATCCGTATAGAAGAACTGACTCACTTGACGTTTGTATTGAAAATCCGAATCACTTTGTTGTTGATGCAGGCTGAGTGACAGCGGAAGATTTCCAGATTGGTTTCAGGTTGATGAATGTGTTTCTCGCCTTCCCGATTCTCGATTTGACATCTTCGTTCGTTCCACCTGTACATGGTGATTGGCGCTGGATGTTGCTGTTGTTGTTGTTGGTTGGTTATTTTCATAACCTCCGTCTTGTCTATGTTCACCTGGAGTCCTGTCTTTGCTGCTACCCTCTTCAGCCAGTTTGTCGGTTTTCGCTTGTAAGTCTTCGCTTTTGTGTGACATCAAACATAAATCATCCACTCGCGAAATCCAGGTTTTCTAGATTCTTCAAGTCGGTCCAGGATATCCCTGTCTTCTCGTTTCCCACTGTCTAACGGCGCATAATCCAGTCCAGTCCACCACAATTAGGAATATCGTTGGTGATAATAAGCACCCTTGTCTGACTCCTGTGTTTACTCCAAACGCCTCGCTGAGTTTTCCGTAGTGGATCACTTGACAAGTAACGTTGTCGTACAGCTGTTGAATAAGGTTGATGAATATTTGGTGTACGCCATAGTACTTGAGTAGTTTCCGAATTACTTCGCGGTCAACGCTGTCGAAGGCCTTCTCAAAGTATGTTTTTATTTCGTTTATCGATGTCGTATCGTTGTTATTAGTTTCACACTGTCTGACAATGACAGCTAGAATGCGTGTATTTCGATCGGTTTTATGGGATTACAACGATAGACAGATCATAACAGATCTAAAAAAAACACTTTCCAAGTTTATTAACTCAACAAGATACAATATATAGCCAGCTGACATGTACTAAACTAACCCAGGAAAGATATACTCCCTGAAAATCGTCGAACATCAATTAATATGGAATGTTAAAAGACAGAAGACCATTAGTTCAGCGAAGAGTTTCTTTTCGACGGCGAATTCATTTTTTATAGCTGTACAATCGCAAATATGTCTATGGTTGTTTTGTATGTATGTGTGTACATTAAATTTGACAAACGAAAATACAACTAGTAAGTTGATGTTGATATAAGAGGGTAGCAACAAAAGTGAGGAATTGTCACAAACGATTGTTAAAGAAGAGTTACGTTGAGCTAAGAGTGTACATGGAAACAAAATAACCCACGGAATTACGCAAGAGTTTTTAAAATAGTTAGAAAAATAAGCATACAAACAAAAGTTAAGTCAAATCAGCAGAATTGTAACCATGATAGTAAAAGTGGTTGACTAATTTCTTTTTTTGTAAGCATAGCTGTGGTTCTACCAACTGAATGACTAGAGCTTCTGCAATACAAAAAAGAAGACGGAAACGTATTGTTTATGGCAGGTTGTTCTTCACACTGTAGATTACTTTGAAGAAGGAGGCGTTTGTTGAGATGGAATATTGACCAGTGTTGACGAGGTGTTCGATTATTGCACTCCTTATATACGGCCACTACTTCCTTTCTACAGCCATGCTGGATAGTGTTCTTTGACCCTTTTTGACAGGATGCGCGTCGAACGACCAATGTACCTGGCTGACTCCACAGCAACAGGTGAACTGATACATACATACACACAAAAGTGATCAGGTACAGGATCTTTTGGAGAATGGAATGTTGAAGTTTCTAATTCAACCATTTTAGTATGTCTCATATCTATTAAAGGTTGTAACGCATTGATCTATGCATTCAACTTTCACTCAGTAGGCTTAGTCTTGATTCTATCTACTGAATTTAGTAGTATAGTAAAGTACCATTGATCAGTTGATCCAGCTGGACTACGTCAACTCCTAGCTTAGTGATAGGGAGTGAAGTGATAGAACATGTTGACCACTTCACCTATTTAGGAAGTTGTATCAGCACCAACGGACTGATTGGCGACGAAATCTCAGCACGGATCCAAAGATCTCAAGTTGCTTTCGCTAACTTACACCATCTCTGACGTAAGCGTGACATCCGGCTATCAACCAACGGACGTGTGTACTGCTCAGCAGTTCGCTCCATCCTTCTCTATGGCTGGCTCTGAAACATGGCCAATACGAGTTGAAGACATGAAAAGGTTGACTGTTTTTGATCATAGATGTCTACGATCTCTTTCTCACGTTAGGTGGTATAATAAGGTAAGTAATATTGACGTCAGGCGTAGAGTGTTGGGCAAAGAGGGGAAATCAATCGAAGAGGCTATAAAGTTACATAGATTGAGATGGCTAGGTGACGTGCTGCGCATGCCTAACCACCGCCTCCCCCTCCTGACGGGCATTACTAGCTGATACCAATAGGTGCAGGTTGGAAAAGAGTAAGTGGTGGCCAAACAAAAACATGGCCTCATCAATCCATGAAATCCGTGACAGTTAAACTGAGTCAGGTTGGGAGGGAGATGCAGACTTCCGGGTTGGGGCCCGCCCTCGGGACTCTAAGAATCACTCAATGACTGGAGACAATAGGTGACATTGCTGAAAATCGTTGTCAATGGCTAGCGCAGATGTATTCAGTCTCTGTAATCTTTCATATTCCTTTCTGCCATTACTCATTCTATTTCACTCACTCTTATACTTGTCAAAACTCAATTGATTCTCTTCATCACTCATTTTCTTATCTATCTTTGTGTGCTCTTTGAATCGTGGCAACTCGAAGTGCTGCACTTTGGTGCCAAGTTCTATGTTGAATCTAGGCAGACAGACAGTCAGAGTGTCTGGCGCATCTTGTTGGTGTTTTAAATAAATAAATAAATAAAAATAAAAGCATCTATGGTTAGTGAGCATCATTCTACTAAATGAGAACTATTGACCCTCAAATAGCTCAGTATTTTGTTTTTTATTCTTTCATCCAATTTTATATTACTTCTTTTTCTAGACAGAAAATCAAGTAACCGCTAACACTGAACAACAAGATCCCCTGTCACTCGAAAGACACAATACAACAGACAACAATGAAATTGATGTTAACCGGAACTCTTTAAACGTGGTTTCCACATCTTCTATGAATAATGAAAATATCTGTCAGTCTGTTAAACACCTTCAGAGTGAATCTAATACCAGCACTGCTGCTGAGGCTGCTTCTGCTGCTGCTGACCATCCAGCGTCTTCTATCTCCACAGCACACATACCATCATCTTTCCCATGTAATAATTCCTCTTCTATGCCGTTAGTCTCCTCCCCGCCCACCACCTTATCACCATCATCGTCTACTCTTCCTACATCAGTTCATCAAGGCAATAATGATAACAGTTTAATTGAACAATTTATTAATCTATTAAATAATTGGATAAATTCACTACAAATCAATAAAAATTTATTAATAATCGATAAAGAAAAAATCAATAAAATCCTAACCAATCGTATTGGACAATTAGAGAGTCAATTATGTGAAATATCATTAAAATATCAAATGGAACGTAAACGTCGATTAAAAGAACAACAGGTAAGTTATATTTGTAAATATTGTGTGTGTGTGTGTGTTTGTGTATGTGTGTTTCATCCTTCTCTGGAACTCATCAGTTGCATGCCCCTCCCTGTCTGTCTATTCAGTGATTAAGTAATGGATAGTGTTCTTACTGGATTCTAAGACTACCCACCTCCCCGCCCCCCGCCGACAGTATCAACTAAAAATGTCATCTGATGTGCTTGTAGAGTAGTAGGTGATGGTATATCAATCGATCGACGTCGAAGATATTTTTGTTCCGGAAAAAAAGCAGTCACGAGAGAAATATATGTATTATAGAATGATAAGCAGTGATTTGTAGTTAATTAGTGCTTATTATTATTGATACTTAAGAAGACATAGCTCAGAACACAAGTGAGGGGAAATACAGTAGTCCCTCTTTGTATCCTTGTTTATTGTTGTAAGAAAAGTCATCTCGAATTGATTGTAATGTACGCGAGTGGGAATTAGATAGATCCTGATGTCGAGACTCAGATTTTCATGTCATCTTCAAACATTAGCCAGCCACCTACTACGTCGAAATTGTTGTCTGTCAACCGAAGACTGCCTGCTCGACTTCTTCAAATTAAGTCTGATTAGGACTGACTGGAGAATATCGTACTACTCGGTGGGTAGCCGCTGCTGCTGGTGGTGGTTGTGGTGTCGGAGAGGGTCGCTGATTAGGCGATAGAAATGTGTCATTTACTGGATATGACAGTTGGTGATTGTAGTGGAATCGTGACCTCCTTTTGTGAGTAATTGGCTCCTAGTTGCTCCCAAGTGTTGCGGGACTGGCTGTGAAATACGACCGTCGATAGTGGAAGATGTGAAACAACAGGCTAACTGTAATTCGACCAGAGATGTTTGTGTTTCATCTCCGGTGTTAAGTGGTATAATATGGTGAAGAATACTCAAGTTAGGAGTGCAGAGTAATAGGTGAGGCAGGGATTATTTTTATTTAAACGCAGAAAAAAACTTAGTACAATATGGCACCAAGAAAGATGCGCCACACAATATTGTGTGAGGGCTGAGATACTGCCCGGGCGCTCAGACCGAAGGAGGTGGTTTTCTTAAGGGACCACCCCCGGAGCCTTTGACTTGGAGTCTAATCCGCAAGGTAGCGGAGCAGCGTCAGGAGCTGCGCTCCCATGGTTGCCGGTGACCCATGTGGCTTCATACACCATTTGATCCGATTGAATTCTGGAGCCCATGTACCCCATGGTAACTGCTTTTAGTCTAACCGCTATCCAGACAACCTTCCTGACATGGTAGGACCTGCAGGGACATGAGTCCCAGCCAGTTTAGCTTGTTGGGTCACTGCGGCATTCAAGCCGGACCACCACGGCAAGGTAGCAGTTGTCGGCCGGGGTGAGGCAGGGAAGTCAATCGATGAGATTGTGTAGATGAACGAATTAACGAATGAGATGACTAGGACACGTGTCGCATATTCCGAGCCATCGCATATCTCGGTGGACAGTTTTAGTCGAATTAGAATTGGGGTTGATAAAGAGTTAGGCATGACCAGACTGAAACCTGTCATTAGTTCATGAAGTTGTTGACATTTGGCTTGAGGCAGCCACCTATGAAGATGTAGACTGCTTGTTTGGGGTCCTTGGAATGCTAAGAACCAATGGTTCCTTATGAATGTCCTTTTGAATCCCTGTTTTTCTCTCTTGTGTCTAAATTTGTATGCTAGCTGCATGGAGTATAGCAATTTGAACTGCTGCACTTCTGTGCGAATTTTTCTATATTAAAACTTACAGTTAGTCATTCAAAAAGAATGATCATATTGTAACAACAGTAGACAAGGGCCAGGCACCAGATCGTTTATTTATGAAATCAACGCATATTTATATATTTTCATATACATTATTATAGATTATTGTAAGTAAACAAACACAGTCTTTTGATTGCTGGTTTCTCGCTGAACGTTAATCTTTCATCTCTTTGTGGCCGTTTATTGAAGTTCAGATTTTATCTATCTGCAAATTGTCTCCGCCTACGCAAAGTCTGCTGTGGTTGGTTGTTGAATTTGTCTTTGTACTTATTTTTCTCACGACCACCAATATTGGGGACGTAAACATTGACGTGAATTACTGTCTACCAATTTTGGCTAGCAGCCAGCTCTCACCACAATATGAATTAGTGTGAATTTCTGTAGGCATATTGAAGTGGAGTTAAATTTGTCTCCTGTAGTAGTATGGTATAGTATTACTTTAATAATCTTTTATAGGATTCTCCATTGCTCATCTAACGATGTCACATAGGCATTCCTACCGGCGTCCGACAATCATTATATCTTGTTGACGTAAAGGCGGCATTCGATTCTGTCGACCGAGAAATTCTCTGGCGATGCTTGGCTGTAAAGGGAATGCCGAGAAAATATATAGCACTGATTAAGGCACTCTACTCGTACTCATGCAGCCAGGTGAGGGCTTATGACGAGTTGTCATCTGAAATGGTGACGACTAGTGGCGTCCGTCAAGAATGCCCATTATCCCCATTCCTATTCAACTTCATCATAGACGTACTAATGGACTTAACCCTAACACACTTCACCGACTCAGGGATTGACTTGCTACCAGGGAATAATCTCGTCGACTTAGAATATGCGGACGATATAGTCCTTCTAGGCGAGGACGCTGACAAATGCAGAGCCTACTGAACTCCTTGAGCAACAATCTTCGTATGTTTGGCATGCGATTCGCCCCTGTAAAATGTAAGATGATGCTGCAGGATTGGACTTCACCGACCCCTAGATTAGAAATAGGAAGTGAAGTGGTAGAGCACGTTGACCGCTTCACTTACTCGGTAAGTACCATCAGCCAATGCCAACGGGTTGATCTCTGACGAAATCTCAGCACGAATACAGAGGGCTAGTTTCGCATATGTCAGTTTACGACGTCTCTGGCGTAGACGTGATATTCGACTATCGACCAAAGGGCGTGTGTACTGCTTAACAGTCCGCTCCGTCCTCCTTTATGGCTGGCTGTGAGACCTGGCCATTGAGAGCAGAAGACATGAAAAGATTAGCTGTCTTTAATCATAGGTGTCTGCTTTCTATCTCCCGTGTGAAGTGGAATAATAAGGTCAGCAATATTGAGGTTAGGCGTCGAGTACTAGGTAAGGTGGGGAAATCAATAGACGAGACTGTGAAATTACATCGACTGAGACGGTTAGGAGATGTGCTACGTATGCCTGGTCATCGCCTTCCTCGACGGGGAATGTTAGCTGATATAGGGCCAGGCTGGAAAAGAGCTAGCACGTGGCGGTCAAACGAAACATGGCTTCATCAGTCAATGAAATCCACAACAGTTAGTCACGTAGGAAGGTGTAGGCTTCCTGGTTGGGGTCCTCGGGACGGTTTAAACCAATGGTTGGAAACAATTAGTGACATGGCTCAAAATCGTTCTCAATGGCTGGCGCAGATGCATCCACTCCTTGTGACTTATGATTTCCAATTAACCTGTTTTGTTCTTCGTTATTACTATTCCTTTGTCTCACACCTCTGTTTACTGTCTATATTATGCATTTCTTCTACTTTCTTCTCTTGATTTGTGTGCTACAAGGAGGGAGTACGTATGTACAAAGTTCTATGTCGAAAACCGACCGACTGACCGACCGATGTCACTGGTGGTGTGCAGTTGTAGGGTTATACTGTCCATTGACAAAAGTTAGAATTCAGGTGGTTAGGGAGGAATTCCAACTCCAGTGGCTGAATAACAGTCACAATTGGCTAGTCTTCGAACATGATAGTGTTGGGTTCACTGCTTGTGTGAAATCATAACTAGCAGTGAGACACAGAATCCGAATTTCGTCCTATTCAGAACTCGTCAACTGGACGTACCTTCATTCCGCAATATCTGAATGATGGCCCTAGCAAATAATAATCTACAATATAGGTTTCATACCGAAATATGATAAGAACTCTACTAATGACCGAATATCAAGTACTCTTTCGCCTTAGTTTAGGATAAAAAAAACAAAAGACAGATTGTTTCCAGCCGAGGTGAAATATTTTCAAGCAAATTATGAGCAAACACTATCAAACACTATACTCGGAAAAGTTAAACCAGTTTTAGATAACTTATTTGATTGGTTGGGCATTTAGCTATCCAATCACATTATAATAAATCTTAGATCTCAGGGCGGGGCAGGGCAGGGCAATATCTGAATTCCCCGACTCTTGTTTCAGCCTGTCTTTGCTTACCAAATAAACTTATTTCAAGAATAAGCAAAACTGATGACTGACTGATTAAGTCTCAGCTATGATGTCTGGTGAATGCTCAGCAGGTGGTGTCCTAACCACTGCAATTGATGTAGCTTCAAAACCTCATCGATTGACTACCGCCTCTCTTACCCCTAACATTCTTCATCTAATCTCAGTACCACTCACCAATTAACACGGGACTTACTTTACTTTACTTCGGCTATCTCCTACGGGAGGATGAGCCGGCTTCATGAACATCTCGAATCATCGCTGCCCAGGCGCGACGATCTGATGCAAGGTTTTGCGACAGGGTTATCCAATTCTTGTTCCACAGACGGAGTCCGTAGACGGTTTGTAGCCCCAGGCACTCCATATCAGCCTTGACTGTACCAAGCCATGTTTTCAGCTGTCCACCCCTGTGACATCGCCAAGATGGTAATGGTGAGGGATTTAGAACTGATTTGACCAGATCGTCATCTGCTCGGCGCAGAACATGGCCAAACCAACGAAGGCGACGTTGTTGGACCAGTACTGGAATTTGGTTGATGTTGTAAGAGAGTTCATGAAGTTTCATGGGAATTTGGTACGAGTGATGTCCCCAGAATCGCTCGGCCTTTTGTTTGAGAGTGCAGCTCTAGCCTTTACACAACCGAGTGTGACCTACAAGGCAGTAGGAGTGGAGTAGGGAGTCCACTATCCATTGGCAGCCAGTGACCGGAGTTCGGTTCATACGCCTTTTTGAATGGGGCCAGACATCCAGGACATCCAACAAGCCCTTTGTCCATACGTGTGCCGGTGAGCTCCAGTGAGCTTCATACGCCAGTCGTTGGAGGTTTGGAATCAGGGTTTAGCCATCTCCCCTAGACTGTCGTCCAATGGACAGTCAACCCGGTGAAGAGTGCCGGGCATCCGCTTAACACGGGAGACAGAAGTCAAACATCTGTGGTCAACGGCGGCTAGTCTTTTCACCATATCTTTCACTTTCATCACTGGTCATGTCTTTCACAGCTATAAAGAGAAGGGCAAAAGGAACAGCTGGACACCTAATATGTAGTCATATTGTAACAACAAAAGACAAGGGCCAGGCAACAGATCGCTTATTAAGGAAAATCAACACATATTTATAGATTTCAATGTACATTATTGTAGATTATTGTTAGTAGAAAATACAGTCTTTTGATTGGTTGTTTCTCACAGAAAGTTAACCTTGCATCTCTTTGTGGCTGTGTCAGATCATCCATATGCTAACTGTATCCGCCTACGCAAAGCCTTTGTTCTCATTTTCTCACCACCAATATTGGGGACATAAACATTGACGTCAATTACTTACTGTCTACCAACTTTGGCTAGCAGCCAGCTCTCACCACAATCTGATACTTGTTCTTGAATAAAACAAGAACAACAGTGGTGGTTTGTGCAGAATAATATGGTACCATCATTCACTTCATGGGCTTCTCATCAACTGCTGCTTACAGCCTGAATAGATTATGAGGTTTATGTACAGAAAAGTTCTAACATACTTGCAAATACCTCATAATTTATTCAGGCTGTAAGCAGCTGATGAGAAGCTCACGAAGTGAATGATGGTACCATATTATTCTGCACAAACCACCACTGTTGTTGTTCTTGCTTTATTCAAAATTCATTCAGGAGAATAAATGCATGAGGATACCTGCCTTGTTTGTTTGCCAATCTGATTATGGTTCACCATATGTGTGTCTATTGATCATTAGTCAATGATGACTTACAGTCGTCTATCTTGTCTGTCTATGAACTAAATAACAATGAATGACGTTTGTCACACATGACATTGCAGCCAATCAGAACTCAGTTGGTAGTTAAAAAAAACAACTACTTTATCTTTATCTTATTGGTTCATACATTTTAGTTATTTTGACAATTTTTCATTCACACTTTTGTGTCACAGTTAATTCCCCTTGTTGGAATAATAATATATACGTATCCTTCGTCAGCGTTTGGGTCTTCTAAATTTACTCTTCACATGTCAGAAAAATTTAGCGGGATAGTTAAATTTTAAGCACAACTAACTGCCAATCAGCGAATGACCTAGAAAGCACCAATCACGTGAAGCAGGCACTTTTGTGTATGGAAAAAATGCATAAAAACTGTAGCAAAGTGTTACAGAGGATACCTTCCTCTCACATGTGATAAAAATAGCTCTCAGTTTTAGGTTTGAGTATCAACAGAGTATAATCATATTGTGGGTAAAATTTATTTTGACAAAGTTTCACAGTGTTATACAGTAATATTTACTGAGCAATAAATTGTGCTCGAAACGTGTTCATCACTGTTAGAATTTATCAAAATACATTTTACCCACAACAGAATTATACTCTACCACCACAGTGCACAAGTTGTATTCTTATATCAACAGAGTAATTTAACCAGATTCTATGCATGTAATTATTTAGGTCTTTTAACCCTAATCTTTCCTGAACCTAACCCTAACGTGAATATATCCCTAAACTAACTATATTTTACCTCGAACCAACCCTAATGTCGCCTTGATTAGGTTAACCTAACGCTAACTTGTCCTTGGCTTAAAGCGTAACTCAATCTTTCTCAAACCTAAGCTGAAACTTGCCAGATATCCCATTTCATAGCATAACACTTCTATGAGCATATTTTATTGATGATGACAACATTATTTACCAGGTTTCACTAATTAGCTCAGCGACTGTTTCAAGGTCATTGGTGCGGTCGCACTCCGTTGGTGGTAGTAGTTAGTGGTGCTTAAAGTTTAACTTGGCCGTCATATTTATGCTCAGTCATACCATAACAACAATAGATACTTTTTTGCTTCGCGAAAAATACCCACTAAGACATTGAAATAAGAACAAATTAGTTCAGCGAAGAGTCTCTTTTCGGCGAATTCATTCACTTAGCTGTACAGTCGCAAATATATATACAATTATTTTGTGTGTGTGTGTGTGTGTACATTAGGTTTGTCAAAGTCAAAATCAAAATAACAGTTAGTGTGGGTTGTTGATTACGTCATCAAAATGACTAAGAAATTAAAATGTGTGATTAATAATCAAAGTTGTAACTAAGTGGGATGAAGATTGGTAAGATATGAGTAGGGTTACGTAATATAGACATGTTTAGAAAGATTAGATGTTAGTGAAGGAGTATGGAGACAATTGTGAAAATAAACTAGATAATAGGTGAAAAGATTGAATGGGTTAGTTACTAAAAATTATTATACGAAAATTGCAAAAAAATTTGATAACAAAATGTTGATGGCAGATAAACTTGAAATTAAACCCACGGTAGTAGGAGGGGGTGGAGAAGTTTCTTCTGTGTGCATAAATCAGCCCTTTCTATCCAAATCGCCAAGGCTTTGGTAATACAAAGTATACGGAAGCTTGTCGATTTTGGAAGGCCTCTTTTGACTTTACAGATGACTTTGAACGACTTCTCTTTGCAAATCGAATGACCAGTATTGAGTATATGCTCAATAATGGCGCTCCTTATTGCTCCGTTGTTACCTTTCCGTAGCCAGGCGGGATAGTGTTCTTGAACTCTTTTAGATAAAACTCGCATCGAACGACCTATATACCTCGCTCCGCAAGAGCAGGTGAATTGGTAGATACACATGGAAGTGGTCAAATGCGATAGTTTATCTTTAGAGTAGTTGAAGAACAATGGCCGGGAGGAAAATGTCAGTTGTAGTGTGGCAGCGAAGAATGTCCTTCTGAGAGCAGTAGATATCCTCTTTTTCAAGGTGTCAGCCAGAAGGTCACCTTTGAAGGATACATTCATGTAGACCATCTTCTTCTGCACTGTAATGGGTTGTTCTTTGTAAGTCTTAGGCTTGATATGCTTGTCTATATTTCAAGTTTATCTGTCATCAACATTTTGTTATCAGATTTTTTTGCAATTTTCGTATAATAATTTTTAGTAACTAACCCATTCAATCTTTTCACCTATTATCTAGTTTGTTTTCATAATTGTCTCCATACTCCTTCACTAACATCTAATCTTTCTAAACATGTCTATATTACGTAACCCTACTCACATCTTACCAATCTTCATCCCACTTAGTTACAACTTTGATTATTAATCAGACAGTTTAATTTCTTAAATTATTTTGATGACGTAATCAACAACCCACACTAACTGTTATTCTGATTTTGATTTTGACAAACCTAATGTACACACACACACACACAAAATAATTGTATATATATATATTGCGACTGTACAGCTAAGTGAATGAATTCGCCGAAAAGAGACTCTTCGCTGAACTACTTTTTTGTTTGTCTGATAGACACTCGGATATCACTGTTGTGATCAAAGAAAGTTTTTTTCAATAGAATTTCTTATTTGCTTTATTTCTCTCGCCCTCTTATTATTTTTTGCAGCATTTAGCAGCGAGTGATGAAGATAAAAATGCCAACAATAGCATTAATAATAATTCATGTTCAGATATAAATGAATGCGAACAATCAACTGGTAGTTGTGATGCGATGACTAACTTACGCAATTCGATGATTCAACGGATCGCTTTAGCTACTGAGGAGGCCATTTACTTTGCTTCTCGAGCTAATCTCCTGCAAAACGAAGTAAGGTGTTTTGTTCTCTCTGACATATATTTATATGGATTGATGTTTTTGGAGTTGTTTGACGGTATAGAAAACACTATAGCCACCAGCTACAGAAAGTCGCACAGGGTAACTTTCTTGTTGTTGCTGACGTGCTGGTCATCTAAAAGAAACACTTTTCAGTAACAGTACAACTTTGCTGGCAACATTTGTCAACATTTAGTGTAAACGTTGTACACTCTTGTTGGTGCGGGGGGGGGTATTCCTTTACGTTCCTAATCGATCATAGGGCTTCAAGTTAGGGGCTAGCAGTTTTGACAAAACTGGAACATTTCGATTACATATTAAGTGAGTTAGTTAATCAGAACTCAATCACTAGGTACCGGGATGTAAGTCATACTGTGTGTGTGTGTGTGTGAGGGCTAATGATGATACTGCTACCGAATTGCCCAGGCTGAATTATTAGGTAGAGCGAAATTTGATCTCCGAACCCAATAGCTGGAAGTCAAGTGTTTAAAGCCAATACCCGGATATCGACCAAAGGGCGGGTGTACTGCTCAGCAGTCCGCTCCGTCCTCCTATATGGCTGTAGGCGAGACCTGGTCATTGAGAGTGGGAGACATGAAAAGCCTGGCTAACTGTCTTTCATCATAGGTGCTTGCGTTCTATCTCCCGTGTGAAGTGGTACAGTAGGGTGAGTAATATTGAGGTTATGCATCAGTCGAGTGAGTGCTAGGTAATGAGGAGAAATCAATAGACGAGGCTGAGAAGCTACATCGACTGAGATGGTTAGGACATGTGTTACGCGTGGATACCTAGCCATCGCCTTCCTCGACAACAGGCAATGTTAGCTGACACAGAGTCAGGCTGGAAAAGAGCTAACACGTGGTGGTCAAACCAAAACATGGCTTCATCAGTCAATGAAATCCACAACAGTTAGTTTAAGCCAGCCAGCCACGTAGGAAGGTGTACACTTCCTGACTGTTTCGGGTCCTCGAAACGGTAAAAACCAATGGCTGGAGATAATTGGTGATATGGCTCAAAATCCTCGTTGTCAATGGCTGGCTCAGATGCATCCACTCCTTGAAACTTATAATTTCCAATGAAAATATATTGTTCTTCGTTATTACAATTCCTTTGGTCTCATATCCCGGTTTACTGTCTCTATTATGCATTTCTTCTACTTTCTTCTCCTGCTTTGTGTGCTACAAGGAGGGAGTGTGTGTGACGACTTGAACTGCTGCCCATCGGTGCAAAGTTCTATGTTGAAAACAGACAGACGGACAGAAAGCCAATAAGCCAATGATCTGTAGTTCTCAGTTTTACTTACTAATAACTTCGATTAATTAACAGTTTAGTAGACAGAAATTCTTGACGGTATATACATATACTACTGATTAATCGGTATGAGTAGTTGGAAACCACCCATATCAACCAGAAGTGATCTGAACCACACCGGACGATCGTTTCTCCTTTTTCAGGACTGTAGTCATCTGTTTGACTGAGCTCAGAGATTCGAACTGATTCAAACCGCCTAAATTCCGGCCAAGAAAAGATCAGCAACAGGGATCTCTGGGAGCGAACCAACCCAGCAGGAACCGATTGTGAAACAAATATGCAGGAAGAAATGGAGATGGATTGGCTGGTCATACTCTGAGGAAACCATCAAGTGACATCACTAGACAAGCCATTGCTCGAGTGTAACCCGACTGAATGGGAAGCGACGAGTTGGTCGTCAGTGCAAGGGTGACTTGGCGGAGGTCATGTGAAGAGGAGATGAAAGCATGTGGGCAAACTTGGAGCCAGGTGAAGACTCTAACAGAGAACCGAACGCAATGGAGACTTGTGGCTGAAGCCCTATGTTCCTCTAGGAATTAAAGGAAACAATAATAATAAATTCCGGCCAGTTGTGTGAACAAATTATGACTGTATGGAATTAAATACACAATTTATAAATCATACAGGTTGAAGATATGAAAAGTCACCAGAGTTTTCTTTAGTTTCCAACCAACCAACTCAGAAAAGTTTCGAAGTGAATAACATAATATTAATAATAATGATTATTATTATTGTTCCCTTGGGTTCCTAGTGGAACATAGGGCTTCAATTGGACGTCTCCACTTGCTTCTGTCTTCTGCTGTACTTTTCACCTGCATCCATGTTAGTCCATACTGTTTCAACACACAAAGGTGTGTGCACGTAATTATGAAATAAGAGTCAGCATTTAATTGTCAATGTAACAGTTGTGTACACTGTGTTGTTGAAAAGACAGACAGACAACAACTGTAAATAGTCTTCTTGTTTAGCACTCATATATTACCTTGAATTTCTATTTGATTTTTTTTATTGTACTGGACTGATACACCTTTTTTGGTGATGGATCGTTCCTAGTATAGATGCTTCCAGTTAGAGGGAGTGTGTGTGTCTTAGTGGTGACACTCTGTGTTCCACTTACTGGAGACTACAGATCCATGCATCCATTTGACCAGTCCAAAATATAATGAAACATGTAGCCTGAACTTGACTGCTTGTCACTGTTAACTAACGTTATTTATTTATTTATTTATTTATCTATTATTATTTAAAACAAACAATAAAGGTTAATAAAGCAGGATTTAATGAATTCATCAAATTTCGGTAGAACTCATCAGCTGAATACTCTACATACACGGATATATATATATATATATCTTTTGAAATTACATTGGGGGATATAGGACTGATAAGCAAATAAACTACATTGAATTAGTCATGCAGAAAGACAGGTGCGAATGTTTTTCCAGGTCATGTTCAATTAGATAAGGGGAGAGAGAGTATGGGAGATCAAAATTAAGATAAATTGCATTACGCTTCAATTACATCACTTAGATAAACAATTAGACATTAGAGAATTTAACAAGAATTGCAACCAGAGGGATGTGAACGGTATTAGTTATAATAACAATAATAACAATAGTGTTAAAGTGAGTTAAGATAATGCTACTGATAAAGGATAGTTTTCAATTAATCAAGAATAATAATAATGAGAATAATAATAGTAATAATAATAATACGAGGTAGAATTATAAGTAAAACGTATTACCATGGTAGATTCAGGGTCACGACCATCTCCTTTTGTACACAGAGACCTGGTTTACAAACTGGAATTGCACAAGCCTCTGCAATTGCAAGCATCTTCTTGTTTCTTTGTCTGCTGACAATGGTGAATGACTTGACCGCGTCGATATCATGCCCGTAATCCTCAAGATGCTTTGTTATTGAGGATTTTGGCACTTTGAACTCAGCTGTTTTCAACCATTTTGGCAAATGCTCCATCATGCGAGTAGACAATCTCCTTTCCGTACGACCTATGTATTTGCTTCCACAAACACACTCAAATTGATATACGCAGTTTGAAGTGTCGAGGATTGGCGACTGGTCTTTCCCAGATTGTTGAAGTACTCGCTTAGTGGTGTTAAGGAAAACAAGTTTTGCAGCATAATAAGTTCTCTTGATGGCTTTGTCGAGTCTTCGTTTGACTACTTCCTGTACATCATCTCCTTTGAACGGCAACCTGATATAGACAGGTTTCTTCGGAACTGTTTGGTTTGTTTTGCAGTGGGTGTTTTCTTTAGAGTATTTATCAATGAACTTCTCAGGATATCCATTCTTAGATAAGATATCCTTCAGGGATTTTATTTCATGCTCAGCAGTACTGTCAGAACAAATTTTTCGTGCTCTATTGAACAGTGTTCTGACTAAGTTCTTTTTATACTGGATTGGAACAAAACTCTTGAAATGCATGTACTGTCCTGTCCATGAGGACTTTCTAAATATAGATCTTTCGATTGTGCCATCATTCATTTTCGCGAATTATTATTATTGTTTTATTCCCTTACCTTCCGAGTGGAACATTGGGCGACTTCAAGCTAGAACTTCAAAGTTTCGATAGCAGTAGTTTTATCTTCACAGGGGGAAGTTGCTAGCCTCATGCCACCCATCCTTTCTTCTTTACTGGCTTTAATACTAAGATTAACGAGGTTTTAGGAGTTTGTTGATGGCCAGGGATTGAAGTCCGGACTACATGGGGCGTGGTTGGCGAGAGTGTTCTACCGATGCTGTTCACCGATACATGTTAACTTACTTAAATACAGTCAAATATCAATAATTTATGTGTTAGTCATGACCAATAAAAACTTGAGGAATATTATACCTAGCAGACTAGCACCAAAGAAAGGACTAGACACACCATCGCACTAGTTACTAGTGTCCAATCACCACTGTGCGTCGGTGGCACAGTGGTTAGGACTCTCGCCGACCATGCACATGGCCCGGGGTTCGATCCCCTGCCGACGCACACCCGATATCTATGGTTGGCCTGTGAAATTTGGGCTACCGATATCCATGCTGAAAATGCCATACTTGTACCGAAAATACAGTGTGGCATCAAGCTGTAATCAAAAATAAAATTAAAATAAATAAATACCCACTCCAGTCCTACAGGAGGTCAATCGCCAGCCCGAATAGCTCAGTAGTAACGTCTCTGACTGCACGCGGCACTGGTTGACACGGGTTCGAATCTCAGAAGGGATATACATGAGTTCCTTCAAGGTTGCAGATAAGCCGCCTTGCTAACTGACTGATGAGTGCCAACTACCACGAAACCTAGGTTAGACAAAGCTTCCTGTAGCCGATCGCCTAGAACTATCTAATATCATCAAATAAGCATTAGTGTTGTAACAACAGAAGACAAGGGCCAGGCAACAGATCGCTTATTAAGGAAAATCAACACATATTTATAGATTTCAATGTACATTATTGTAGATTATTGTTAGTAGAAAATACAGTCTTTTGATTGGTTGTTTCTCACAGAAAGTTAACCTTGCATCTCATTGTGGCTGGCTGTGTCAGATCATCCATATGCTAACTGTATCCGCCTACGCAAAGCCTTTGTTCTCATTTTCTCACCACCAATATTGGGGACATAAACATTGACGTCAATTACTTACTGTCTACCAACTTTGGCTAGCAGCCAGCTCTCA